GGCAACGCACCGATTGCAGCCGCAGCCCAGCGCCTGCCGCGGCCCCCGCGCCCCGCGGCCGCCGCCGCTCGCCGCTTCCCACACCCACATGCTGCTCCGAGGCCGCTGCCCCGCTCGCACAAGGCTTTGTTGTTGCTACCTTTGTGTGTGCGTGGAGGAAAAGCGCCACCTGAACGGTGAACGGCAGAGATCCGGAGCTCCGCGGTGTAGGATTAATGATATGAACTCGAGATCGCAGCATTTTTATAACGGGATTTTTGTATTCAAACAATGAGGATAATCCGAAAGCAAAGTGCTGCACGTAGGAGTGCAATACACAGATTGTCCTGTTTTCCCTTCTGGGTGGAAAATTGAATCAGGATGCCTGTTAGAAGACAAGTCCCTTTCAAATTTCTGCCTGTTAGGTGAGATTCTTTCAGTCTTATTCCTGGAGATCATGGAATAATTTTGAGAAGGAAGCTCTGCAGTCATCGGTACAATCCTCAGAGCAGACTGCAAGAACCTGGCAAAGAACAGTTCCCATTTCCACAGCAAGCATCGGGTGAGACCTTCAATAGTGTTTAATTTATTCCAGCAGCTAAGCCAAGATATAGGGAAGACTCTTTCCAGCCACTCCTCCCAATTTTCCCTACAAAATCTCTTCTTCTGTGCTCTTGCTCTGTTTAAAATTCTTGATGCACCGAATAAACCTCCTCTTTGCATTTCATGAGTTAAATAGGATGAAAGGTTACACCTCCAATGTAGAAAGGTTTCAAGTTAAACAGTATAATTTAACTAAATTATACTATCTTTCCTTAGTAGCTTATCAACTTATACCCATCACTCAACAGACAATGTTGGCACGAATTTGTACCTAATGGAACAATTATGCAAGGCAAGGGCCGCAGGATTAGAACATCCTTTTCTTCAAAACTCAATCTTTTGGGCAGAATTGGAGATTTTTTTCCTTCTATTTCCTTTTTGTACTTGTTGCCTCCAAGCAACAGTAATTAAAATATAAGAAATTAGACATTGGCGTGAATCTGTGATGGGATAACTCTGACAGTGACCGGATGCTTCAGGGAAGAAATGTATATTCCATCATTTTATATCCAACAGAGTGTTTTGTGGGTTTAGTTTTCCCTTAAGTAATCATTGAAAACTTGAGATGGATCCCAAAATCCTGGAAGATGGAACATTCTGCAGAGCCAAGAGTAAGGGAAGGATACCTGTAGCAGTCAGAGTCAGCCCTCTGTGAGATTTTTGGGGTCTTTTTTTTTTTTTTTTAGAGGGGCTACCCAACTGTTTAACATAAGCACAAGTGACATTTTTTGGATAGCAAATACAGATGTTTAGGTAATTTAATGGCAAACAAAAAAAAAAAAAAAGGAAATTATGTGAAAGAACTAATCAAGCACCACACAAGTCATCGGGTTTTAGGGGCAGAGAGAATTCTGTAAGAAACACCTGAAAAGGAGGAGAGGGATTTTTTAAATTCAGTATTTCAGCCTTTGAAAGGATGGGAAGATATTGTCAGAAAATAAGGATAGTTAAGAGACATTAATCAGAGGATTATGAACTTTGTCTTCACTCTTGACTGTGGTTTTGTGAGTACAAAGTAAACACAAACCAAGAAAAAATAATCACAGAATTCTTGGGAAAGACTCCCTAAGATCAAGTCCAGCACTAAACCTTATCCCTAAGACATGAAGATGAAAGAAATACAAGGAAATAAATAAATTCAGTGGGAACATCCCTATGTGGTCTTTACTTTCCTCCTTGAAAGGAAAGGAAATGTTCCTTGTGTTGATGAGGGGCACGTGCTCCTCACAGAAATATGAAGAAGACAATCAGAGGCAATGGAAGGAGACAAAAAGAAAACAAATACTTCCATTTAGAGAAAAAAAAAAAAAACAAGGAAAATATGTGAGTGTAAAATGAAGGACGTGGAAAACAGAAGGCACTTAACATTTATCTTGTCTTGCAATACAAAAAGAAGGAAACAAAGACCAAAATTAAGAAACAAATGTAAAAATGGTAACTTTTAAAAAACAGGAAAACATCATTGACTTGTGGGAATCACAGCCTTGAGCTAAACTCCAAGCTTAATATACTTTAAAAATGACTACAGATATCTAGCTATACTAATGAGAATAACAACATATAAATCCAGAAAAAAGCCCTTATTTCCCCAGCAAATCAACAATTAATCTGCCTGTGTTTAAAAAGTCTTCCTATGGAGGGATTGTTCCATTTGCCCATTTAGAGCCACTTCAGATCTCGTTCTGAAGCATCTGCTCCTCAGTATTGTTAGATTTATGATCTCTAATTAAATTGAGTATTGATCCAAAAATCCCTTTGCTTCTAAAAACACCCCCACTATTAAGAAACACTTAATAGTCTGACCTTTGCAGTTGGCAGTTAAGATTTCAGGCCTGCAGAGAACATTTTATTTTCCCCTCCCCTTCATCCATCCCCAAACAAACACAGACCAATTCCAGACACATTTTTACCCTGGGACTGATACCTGTGATTTGTTGTCAAACTGTTTAATGGACAGGGAAAGGGAAACATCTATGAAATTTGAGCAAAGTTACTCCATATTCTTTGAAATATTTCTTGTTCTTGTGTGTTTGATTAAATCCAGGTTGCTCATGAATATTTCTTAGCCATTTAATAACAGGCATTTTAGGAGTTTAAAAGCTCCAAGAAATTAAATGTCTGTTTTCACATCAAGTCCATTTTTAGGCTGCTGACCAAGTATCATCCATAAAATCAAATGTAAGTCTTGTTTAAGATGTTTTCATCTGAGTCATCACAAAGATTTTTAAGTCACCCCTCCTCAAACCTAAGCCAGTAAATTGTAATTTTTGTAGGAACAATAAAACACCATTTCTTGTGTTCTTGGGATGCTTCCCATGGAGAGGAGGGTGCTTAATGCTTACACTGAATTTAGCATGAAGTTCTCAAGTTGTCATTTGTTGGTCACCTGCAGCCTGGAATGAAAATGCTGCACTCTGGTCATGATGATACAAGAAAGTTATACAGTTTTTACACAACTAAAAATAAAATAGTGACTTTTAAGCTGTCCCTGGGAAAGATTATATAGTATATATACATATATACATATGTATATATGTATATGGGATTGTTGTGTAAGAAACCCCGGGGTTCAGCCAAACATGCTTACAAAGCTGTAAAAAAGAAAAAAATAGATATCATTTTCTAACTCTACAGCCATTGAGTTCCATGATCCCAAGAATTGGAATAACACTTAGGTGTGTCCAAGGAATGCAGAGCAGCAGGAGCATCTCCTGCTCCTCTCCTGCTGACAGTGCTGGGTAAGAGAATCTCACTAAGCAGCAAAACCAAGCTTATTTTGTTAGAAAAGTAAAATTTCCTCACCATTACTCATCTCTGTAGCCTAATTGTGGGTGAAATGACACAAATATGGTGTCTAGAACTTCCAGTACATCTTGGTCTCACTGGTACAGACTGGAAAATATCCTGAGCTGGAGGGGACCCACAAGGATCACCCAAATTCAACTCCTGGCCCTGCACCCCAACAATCCCACCATGTCTGGGCACTTTTGAAAGGTCTCAAAATATTAAAAAAGAGTAATTTAATAGTGCTTATTAAAACAGCCCAGTCTGATATCCTAATTTTGAGACTAAAACATCTACTGTCATCAATTGATGATCCAAATTTTTAACTGTTTTGTCTCTGATGTGTTAAGCATTAAGATTCACCTCATCCTAATAAATTTTGCAGAAGTCCTTTTCCAGACAAAAGTGCCAAAACATTTTAAATGCTCTTTCTTAATTAATTGCCTTTTTCCTTATCATAACATGAAGATTTCATGAAATTTCATGGAAGATTCTCTTCACTTCTGAACACTCAAGAGAGGTTGTCTGGTGTGGGGGGTTTTATACTTCGTTTATAACCCAATGATATATAAACCCCACCTCTCTACAAGTGTGAAAAATGGGCAATTTACAATAATCTGTGATTTTTAAAAAGTATTTAGACCTCCTTGCAAGGGGCTTTGAGACGTGCCCCATTCCCTCTATAAAAATTATCCACATAATACTGCAGTTTCTTTGTTGATGCATAATTTCAGGATGGATTTTTTTTTTAACCAAACAACGCACGGGGGTTCTGCTAACAAACCAGCATGGCCTCAATGACGTGTCCATAAATACATGCAAGTCTGGACCTGTTCAACCACATGTCTCTGTAGGATCAGCTGGCAGAGGGCATTTGGCCACAGTACATCCTCCCTCTTCCACGGAATTCCCAATCCTCGTCTTCCAACTACCTAATATTTGGTTTCACTTCCTTCTCCTCCGCTTCATCCTCGCTGTCATCCACTTGCTGGATGACCAAGTCGGTCGAGCCGTCCTCCACGATCTCCACGTCGGATCTGTTGTCGTCCCCGTAGTGCCACCTGGAATCCTTGTCCCCATCCTGCGGGAACTCCAGAGGCGCCTCCGCCTCCAAGTCAATGCGGATGCTGTCGATGCCCGCCTCGGCCAGGCACTCGTTGCACAGTCTGTAGCGCCGCGTGCCCTCCTGCACCACCTGGCCCGTCAGCTCGGTGACGTGGCGCTTGCACTTCCTGCAGATGGGCTTGCACGCCTGGTGGATCTGGGGAAATCGAGAAGGGATGGATTTGTAAAACACCAATGGGTTTTTTGGGAGATGGCAAAAATCAAATCGCAGCGTTGCTGTCGCTATAGGACACGTGAAAGCACGACGCGAGCCACCTGCTATTTCCAAGGTAAAGAAGAAAGTTTATTCTCTGACTCCGACTTTTATACTTTCCCAAAGGTGACATTGGGTTGGAGAGTGAATGGGCCACCTCTCCAAACACATTGGACAAACCACTAGTACATCAAGTTTCTCCACCCTCATAAAAGAATGTAAACAATATGTTGTTTACAGAAATTGTGTGGGAAAGTTCTCCAACAGAATGTAAATTCAGAAGGCTTTAGAAAATCCTAAGAATCAGGGTGACATGTTGCCTTAATTTCAGAGACATCAAACGCTGAACTGCACCAGCCCCAGCACAGTAATTGCCCACTGGAGCTCTCACAGGCTGCAGAGAGCAGAACCTCTGCAAGCCATCAATTACCCAACAAATTCCTCCTCTTTCCTGCAAATTATCCTTCAATTCGACTGCAGCCAAACCAAATTAATGTTCCATTCCCCTCTTCTTTACAGGAGTCATTAGATCAACCAGATACACTCACACTGTGTTTAATTAGCCAGATTTACATGTTAAATAAATCATGCAGTTGCTAAAAATACTCACAGTTCGAAAATGGCTGCTGAGGTGATCCAGCCTGCTGAATCTCTTGCCACACGCCTCGCAGGGGTACGGCCGCTCTCCCGTGTGACAGCGAAGGTGACGCTTGAGGTCGGCTTTTCTCTTCACCACGTGGCTGCAGAATGGACACTTGAACCTCATCCTGGACAGGTCATCTGTCAGAAAATAATGGGATTTAAAAAAAAAAGTCAAAATCGTGTCATGTAATGCTCTAGGAAAAAGTGTTTTATGAGGAGAATAGCAGGTCATTTATTAAAATATCCACGGGTTGTTTCAAACACAAAGGATTTGTGTTTGTCTGTAGATTACACAGGAGTGGAACAAAGGAGGAGTGGGCCATTGGCTGTATTAACACAGACCTGGTAAAGCCAGCCTGGACAGAGCCTGGAGCAACCAGGGATAGTGGGAGGTGTCCCTGCCCATGGCAGGGAGTGGAGCAAGATGAGCTTTAAGGTCCTTTCCAACCCAAAGTATTCTGTGATTTTATGAAAATGAACTTAAAAATATCCCAACTTATACTTATTTTTAAATTCAATACCCCAGGTACTTCAAGAACTCAGAATGATTTCAAGGAAATGAGTTCAAACTTTCTAAGCATACACTTCTGGACAATACAGCTGTCTTTTTGACAGTTGTGCTTTACTATTGAGTAAGACCTATTTTCTCAGAGGCAGAAGAGAGGATTCACAGGTGTCTAAACCCCACTCACCTTCAGCCCAGTTCCCCATGACTCCCAGGATGGAGGGCATGCTCCCGTACTGCTCCTCAGCTTTGGAGGATTTGGATTTGCTGGAGGAGCGGGGTGACTCGTGCTCCTGCTGCGACACAGCCAAGCCCCTGGGCATCACCTCAGCCCCTTGGCCAAACTGGTAGCCCACGTGAGGAGCTTCCACCTCCGTGTCGATGTGGACCTGCTCCTCGGGCGGCGCGGCGTGGCCGGCGGGCTCGGCAGCCCTGTCCTCCAGCTTGCTGGATTTATAGTGGGGGATGTCTGAAGGCTGCTGCAGCCCCAGGTGCCGGGATTTCTTGATGGAATCCTGCCGCTGCTCGTGTTTAGACAGCTGCTGCTGGGCATTTCTTTGAGAGCTGGGGTAATAGTTGAAATTGCTCCAAGTGTTGCCGCCCATCATACAAGTCCCAGGGTCTGGGCTGGAGTGGGAATGCGGGGGGCTGCTCTCTGCCCTCCACCCTCCGCTGTACACGCAGGATCGGTCCACGCCGTTGGAGCTGACATCTTTGTCTGACAGGCTGAAGTAGCGATCCTTCTCCTTCTCACTGATGTCCAGCGACGACTTGATGAAGGTTTTACACACGCTGATCACATCGGTCATCTGCAGATAGCTGGCAGCCGACATGACTTCGATCACATTCTGACCAGTGAGAGACAGTTTGCCTGAATACACAAAATCCAGGATAACTGTGAAGGTGTCAGGAGAAAAGGCCTGGAAAGTGGCTGTCGTGGACTGACTCGTCTCCTTCGAGCTCTGCGAAAGGAGCATTTTGAAGTAGCCGCTGCTGGCAAACAGCACATTGCGATGGGCTTTGAAGACTTTGCCCTCCACCAGGATGTTGCAGTCACAGAACAAGTCCTGCCTGCGCTGCTCATTTAGTTGCTGCAAGAGGTGAAACTGGTGAGAAGAAATCTCCATCCCAGAAAAGGTGAAATGAAACGTTCCTCTAAAAAAAATGAAGAAAATTATTTCACTCTCGACTTCAGTGCTGTGTAACTCAGCCAAACATGTCAGACCCAATTTTACAGCTATCTTTACAAACAATAGCATTTCTGTAAATCTACAAATATATTTAAACCACGATATGCTCAACCATAGATTCATTTCCCAACAGAACAAGAGGGATGGCGAAGCCAAGACCGCGTTATTTGGCACGGACGGCTGTGCTAGAGCCGGCAGCAAATCCATTCCCGGGATGCGGGGCAGCATGCGGGGCTGGACTCGTGCCGCCCGCTGGAGCTGCGCAGCCTTCAGGCAGCTCCGGGAAGACGAGGAGCCAAGAGCAGCTGCGGCTGCGACCGCGGCCGTGCCTCGAACCCGCGATTCCGTCTCGAACCCGCGATTCCGCCTCGAACCCGCGATTCCGCCTCGAACCCGCGATTCCGCCTCTCCCCGCTCCGCCCGGGCCCCGCTTCGGGCGGAAGGCACGGCGGCAGCGCCCCGGCCTCCCCGGCATTGGCCGCGGCCGCCGTCACTCACCCGCCCGGCCGGTCCCCGGCAGCCCGGGACGCCCGACGGCGCCGGAGCCGCCCGGCCCCGCTCCCACCGCGGGACCGCCGCGCCCGCCTGCCCCGGCCGGCTGCGCGCTCCCCTCCGCCCGCACGGAGCGCCCCGGCCCGGCCGTGCCGCCCGCGGGAACGGAGCCGCGGCTGCCGCTCCGCCAGAGCCCCCCGTGTCCCCGCCCGGTGCCCGGTGCCCGGTGCCCAGCGCCCGGTGCCGCTCCCGTCCCGCCGCCCGCAGCCGCTTCCGCCGGCAGCGCCTCCGCCGCCCGCCCCGCGCAGCCCCTTTGTGTCCGCGCCCGGGGCTGCAAATGGCGCCCGCCGGGGACGCGGCAGCGCCGGCACCGGGCGGCACCGAGCGGTTCCCGGCGGCTCCGGGCGGCACCGAGCGGCTCCGGGCGGCACCGAGCGGTTCCCGGCGGCTCCGGGCGGCCCGAAGCGCCCGCGGCCGCTGCGGAGCCCCGCGCCCTCCTCGCCGCCGCCCGCTCGCATCCGCCGTCAGCCCCGACGCCCGCCCGGTCCTTCCCACCAGCGCAAAGCAGAACGGCCACTCACCGGCGGGGTGCTGCGGGCGGCTGCCGCCGAGCCGGGGGGAGCGGGCGGTGGCTGCGGGATCCCCGGCTCCGCCTCGGGGCTCGCCGTGCCTGCAGGCGACGCGCCGCTGCTCCCGCAGCCCCGAGCCCTGCGAGCCCGAACGGGAGAGAAACAAAAGGTATTTGCTGACGTGGGCGTTGGACAGAGACGCCCGAGGGCTGGGGACACAATTAAAGGGGCAACGCACCGATTGCAGCCGCAGCCCAGCGCCTGCCGCGGCCCCCGCGCCCCGCGGCCGCCGCCGCTCGCCGCTTCCCACACCCACATGCTGCCCGGGAGGGGATGGGATGCCCTAGATGCCTCCTTTTCACACCTTTATCTATAGCAGGGCCCTCGATGACCCAAATCCTTCTCCTTTCTCTTGCGGCGTCCTCCAAAGGAGATGTGACATCTTCTTGTCTCTGTTGGTGTCTGTTATCTTCTGAAGAAAGCATGGCTGAAAGCGAGACCTGAACCTCTCACCTTCTCTCCCTCGAAGTTTAGTGTCTTTCCCCTTCCTCTTCTTACCACCAGGGTCTTTTCTGTGTTTTGGACGCCCTAGTTACTTTTCATAAATATTTATTTTCCCCATGGAAACCGTTCTTCCCTAACCGAGCCCTTGGTGGCATTTTTGGCCTTCTCTTCTCTAACTTCAGACATTCCACCTTGAAACAATTTCTCTTTCTTTGCCCATTGTAGCAAAATTGGCTAAAGAATTTATCTAAAGATAACAACCCAAAGATTATTTCCTTTGATCATTAGAGCCATTCTCCCACTACATCATATACATTGTCATCTCTAATTTCTACATTCATATTTTGTAGATATATATGTATATGTTACAATATTATTTTCCATCTTAATTCCTCCTTTTTCATAAACTCTCTTTGTTTTGTAGATTCTCCTTTCAAACCCAGGCCGTGCTCTTAAAATCTTCATGAGACCCATTCTGCTTCTGTGAGATTCTGCTCTAAATCAACCATTCTTGAACATGAAACAACTGGAATTCAAACCAGCTTCTCACAGCTCTTACCACTGAGAAATAAAGAATGCAATCAACTAAACCATCAGATTATTTAATATATAAACCAGAACATTTATTTCTAGTATCAGGTTTTAATACCATTGAAATGAATTCCTTTAAAGTTTATTTTTGCCTGTCAAGCCAAGTAAGTAGCACCTCTTTTTATTTAATGTGGAATCACAGAATCCCAGGATGGTTTGGGCTGGAAAGGATCTTAAAGATCATGGGCAGGGACACCATGTTTCTCAATATTCTATAAATGTTTTTCCACACTTCTGCCCAAATTATTCCATCAGCTGAAAGCTTCCTTTGGAAAAGAATTATCTGGAGGTATTTGTTCTGTTTGACTTGCCTGGGTGGTGCTTTCACTCCTCTGTCAGTGGGGTTTTATATCAATGTCAACAGGAGCTCGAGGGTTCTCCTTCTGCCAGGAACAGGCAAGAGAATTTAAAAAATATGGGGGGAAATGTCAATGTTATCTGGAGTGGCTTAATTAGAATTTTTAAAGATGCTACGAGTGCTTTCCTCAGAGCACCTCCTGCTCACTGCTGTGCTGTGGATCCAGGAACAGCCACAGAACAAACTTTGGTTTCCTCATCCACGGGGCTGATTTCATCTTGTTGTGCACAATAATGCATCCCAAACAATCCCAGACATCAGAGAGGTTTTTTAGGTTTTGTTTCTAACTTTTAGAACCGATTTCAGCTGAGAAAGTTCCACTTGAGATGCTGATTTCATCTTGCTGTGCACAATAATGCATCCCAAACAATCCCAGACATCAGAGAGGTTTTTTAGGTTTTATTTCTAAATTTTAGAGCAAATTTCAGCTGAGAAAGTTCCACTTGAGATGCTGTTTGGAGAGTTTATCCAGAGGGAATGTGCTTGGCAGCAGTGTGAAGGAGCTGCTCCTCACAGCCAGAATGTAGAGTCTGCTCTTCAGAGAACAATCACACTAAAAAAAATTAATATTTTTCTTGCTCACAGAAAAATTAATGTACATTTCTCCTTGGGTTTGGTAACCAAATAGGATTAACTGTAATAATATATAATGGTATAGTGTAATGTATTATAATAGTTTAATTAACTGTGGCACCAATTTAAAGATTGCAGTTCTCTTCAAAATAAACATTCCTCAGGAATCACAGCCTTCAGTTATGGTGCATCTTACAACTTGAATTATCCAGGGATATTTTTTACCAAGGAAAACTCAAGAGCTTATACTAGAACAACTTAAGGAACTGTTCAAAGCCTAGAAATTAATCAGGCATGGGATTACAACTTTCATGTGATCACTGCCACCTTAGATTGGGGTTGTCTTCATTTGCATCATCATTCCTCTCCTCACCTTTCCCAAGGACCAAACCAGGAGTGTTGAATCACCCGGGGTTTGAGTTCCACCTTTGTGCTCAAGCTCAAATCCAAATCTCAAATACAAATACAAATCTTGAGTACAAATCTGAGCCTAGAAGCACAAATCCAAATCTCAAATCCAAATCTCAAATCCAAATCTCGAGTACAAATCCAAATCTTGAGTAGAAATCCAAATCTCGAGTACAAATCTGAGCCTAGAAGCACAAATCCAAATCCCAAATCCAAATCTCGAGTAGAAATCTGAATCTCGAGTAGAAATCCAAATGTAGAAGCACAAATCCAAATCCAGAAGCACAAATCCAAATCTCCAAGCACAAATCCCAATCTAGAAGCACAAGTCCAAATCTCGAGTACAAATCCAAATTTCAAGTACAAGTCCAAATCTCAAATACAAATCCAATCTAGAAGCACAAATCGAAATCTCGAGTATAAAACCAAATCTCCAGTACAAATCCATGGAGCCTCCAGGGCACCAGGAGATTTTTCCTTTTTCCAAATGAGCAGGAAATTGGAATGTCCTGTCCTAAACCCAGGGAGGAATCTTCCCTTCTTCCCTCTGGCAGCAAGGCCAGTTTAGGGAAAGCCTGATCCTAATCCTGATCCAGCAGGACAATTAAAACCCTCCTTAAACTCTTTATTTTCAGCTGTTTCTCAGAACACCCAACTGTCCCACATTTGCATCCAGCTCATGTTGATGACTTAGGGCTGGATCCAAACAATTCTCCTCCCCAAATCATTCCCAAGCTTTTTGACACCCTCAGCTGCCCTGCTCTCCTCCTCCTTCCCCCACAAAGAATCCTTTTCACCAAGGGTGGAGATAACCACCCTCATCCCCTCTGAGTTCTTCAGCATCTCAATCTTTCATGAGAAAAAAAATTAAAAAAAAAAACAAAAAAAAGGGAAATTTGTCTACTTGCAGCAAGATTTTTTTGTCAAATATTGGATATAACACAAAATTTTCTGGAAAGGATATTTGGGATGTTGTCCTCCTCACATGTATTTCCTCCTAGCTGGGATCAGTGTCTGCTTCCTAGCAAGAAAAATGAGAAGTTTTAAAAGGAGTTTAAAAAGTTGAATTAACATAAAACTACAAGACTGTTAAAAAAAAGCCAGTATTAATAATATAAAATATTTTCTAAAAGTCTCACTTGGCTGGGGTTTACGTGAACAGAATCCTTTTAGTCTTTTCCTTCCAAAAACCTGATTTTTCTTGCAAACTAGCTGTCCCCAAAAATGGATATATTAATTTTTAAGCCAAATTAATGGAATGGAAATAATTATTTAATTTTAATGCCAGAAATTGAAACGTGAGCCTTCAATCTAGACACTCTCAGGTTTACTCAGTCAACATGGGAACAGTAAAAAAAAATCAAAGCAACCCTCTCAGAGAGTTTTATTTTCTAGACAATCAAAAAACTCCAGAATGTTCCAAGATCCACAAATATAGTTCAGTCACTTCCACAAATAAGGTTCGGTTTATAAGAATTTGTCATTGTTACTGGACCAAAGGACTTCAGTTATGAAACTGTCTTACAAAACATCAGGGAATTCAACGACCACATTTGGAAGATTTACAAGGGCTTCGCACCAAGAGGTTAAATGCACTACAAACACCAGTGCAGCATGTATTCCTTCAGTGAAATACAGTGCATTTCTGTGCAAAAATACATTAAAATGTGTATTCCTAAACAAAGTCAAGTACAACGAGCTAAGTTTTAAGATACGTCATCTTCGCGGCCTTTAAAAACCTTTGAGAAAGAGATTCTATTAGAATAACTCCCCTAAAAACATGGTTTTTGATTCTTCCTCAAGCACCACAGGAAGGTTTTGTTTTTTTTAAACAGCCAACATCATTTTCTCAAAGCTTGTAGAGGCTGGATCTACAAATGGAAGATTTCAGGAAAAAAAACATCCAAAAAACAAAGTGGAAAGCACAAGCAAACGGATTTACATGAACACCCCGGGTCACAAGAATGTGGATAAATAAACTCCATCCTCTTCTACATCCAAAGGCTGAAAAGACTCCACGGAAAAAAAAAAAAAAAACAAAACAAAGGCAGCACAAAATGACAATTTAACAGGAAACACCGAGTTTGGTGGAACTTTCCCTGTGGAAAAGCCTCCCCCCGCCCGCCCCGGACCCCTGACAGCTCCATTCTCTAGGCACAAACACACAAGGACAAATCTCTAAGACCAAAAACAGCAGGGTGAAGGAGAAGGTCTCTGCAGATATTCCTGCAAAGGGAATATCCCTTCCAAAGGGTTCATTTTCTCTGCTCCAAGTGCCTCCAGGGGCTCAGAGCCAGCAGAGCTCGGCCACAGCAGGAATTTCCCAGCCAGAAGCAGGCCCAGCTGATATTCCAGGTCTAGTGGCTTCTACCAATATTTACAACAAGGTGGAATCTTCATGACCAGAGCTGGGGGAGCCTGGTCGCTAAATATTAATTGGATCCCTATTTACATTCCTGCCTCACTTCCATCAGCGAGTCTCCCAAAAAAAAAAAAAAAATTAGATTATCCATGGCTCTCAAGGCAGAAAGTCCCTCTTTTATCACCTTTATCACCCTGTGGTTTTGGGTGGACTCACCAAAAATCCAGTAGTCCAAAAGACAAGCCCTGGGAGGATGGAAGGTGCTTTTCCAAACATTCCAGCAAGATCTACAAGCCCCACATTTTGCTCAGGTTTTCAAGAGCACCAAGGAGCCAAAACCACAGCAGGATTTTCAGAGCAGCTCAACTCCAAAAGTGGCACCTCCAGGAGTTGTCCCTCCAATGTCCCTTAATTCAGATCGACTAAAACAGGGGCTCTAGAGCAGGGAAATCTGTAAAGGTCTTGTCCTGTGTTCCAGCTCCTACAAACTCAAATTTCCAGCAGACCTGGAACAGGAATGACTGAAACTCACCCAAATTAAGAGTCAGAAAATAAAACCAGCACATGACATGGTGACACTCATCAAGAACTTGGACCAGACCACTCCAAAGGAAGTCTCTTCACCTTCTGCTCTGCTCAGCAGCCGCCAATAAAGTGAATTCTTTAAAAAGAACTTTGTTTCTTCTTTCCTCATCCTACCTGGTGTGGCAATGAACCCTTGGCTGCACTTGTGAGAGCAGCAGCACCTCTCACAAATAAATCTGACACGACAGTGGGACTGTTTCACTGCTGGATGAAGCACAGGGAGAAGCTGAATTGTTCTTTTCCAACATGTACAAGAAAAGCACGAGGTATGCAGAAAAAAAAAAACCTGGTTAAATCAGAGGGCTCTTGGGTTTTTTAAGTTTGCCAAGTGGAAAATCTTTACACCAAAACCCTCAGGAAACAGCACCAAGTGGGAGGAACTGCTCACTCTTTGTCAGCCAAATCTGTCTACAGAATTCTGCTCCAGCCAAAAAGACTCATCAAATTTGCCTTTTCGTGAAACACTTAGAGAACAGCGGAGTGAAGAAGCATTAACAGTCTTATTTCACAGTATATTTCAGTTTTGTCCCTTTTGTCAGGGAACAGGAGGTCACCCCTAAGCAAACAGGCTTTCTGATGGTGCTGGGTTTTCTTCTAAAGCTTCCCAGCCTGAGTTCTGATAGCTCTTAAAAACTTGCTGCTGGAAAGGTGACAAAATCTCACCTCCTTTCCAAAGCCTTAGCTGCCCCAGCAAAGAAACAGGAGGTCCACAGTGGAGGTTTTAAAAAAAAAATACTGGATAAAAATCACAAAACATAAATCATCCCCGATTTTGAAAAGAAATTACAGGAAAAGACAAAAAAAGGATTCCAAAAGGGCATTCAGAGCTCTTTTATAGCATAGCTCAGATATTTCACTGCTCCTCAGCTACACCAGGTGTGGATCTGGTTATTCAATCTGCCACAGTCAGAATTCCCAAGGAACCTGCCTGACAGCTTTTAACTCCTATTGTAAAAAGCTGAAAAGAATTTGGGCTTTTCTCTTGGTCCTGGCCACTAAAACACCATTATTTGTGCTTAATATTGAAGCCAAGACTGCTGATATCTGAGTGACATTAAAGACACAGCTGAAGATCTACAGCCTGAGCTCTTAGGAGAGGAAGATGCAGTAAAAATTCAGAAAGAAAAACTTGATCTCTAAATTCCTGCAATTAATTATGTGAAATAGATTTATTCTTCCTGTCTATCTTTCCAGCAGCAGCATATTTTGATTGTTTGTTTGTTAGTTAGTTTGTTATCCTGGTTTTTCTGCCCTGGTTTCCAAGGTCAAGTCCAGTCATAGCAAAAATTTATGGTTCATAATTTAGATAACACTGTCCTAAGACAGAAGAATCACAGATTAGCTTGGAAAAGTCCCAAGGTAAGAGATATAAACCACATTTGATGTCATCTTCAGAGAAAAGGTGGTGCTCCTTTCAGATCAGGGATTAAGGACTCATTATTTGAAGAAACCTGTCCCAAAAACAACCTGCAAACCCAAAACCAGCAGGCAGAGAAACTGCTCGAGTCCAACCTCTGTGAGCCCAGACAGGAGATTCTTCACAGATTTCCTGTGCACAGCACTGAAAACGTTCAAAGTATTAAAAATTCCAATTTTTCCCCGCAATTGAATTAAAAAAAAAACAGAATAATAAAAACCAGCACAGTGTCACTGATTGAGCAAATGTGCAGTTTTCTGTCACAGCCACTGCCAGGGAACCTCTCAGTGCTCCCCCTCTCCTCTCACTGCTACATCAAAGTCTCTCTGTCTGACAAACTCCGGTGGATCTCCTGCTTGTCATCGCCATCCTCATCCTCAGCTGCCTCGTTTTCCTCTCCAGACTCCACATAGATGGGCCAATCGTTGTCAGCATCCCCTTTTTCCTGCCCTTCCGAGGCCGTCTCCACCAGGCTGAGGTTGATGGGCAGGGAGTCCTCGTGGGTGGTGGTGACACAGGTGCAGCTGTCACAGAGCCCGAAGCGCCGCAGCCCCTGCGACAGGCTGTTGGTGAAGGTTCTCCTGCAGCCCTTGCAGATGATGGGCTTGTTGGAGCGATGGACCTGCAGGAAAAACAACAAACTTGGAGGGAAAAAGGTAATTTGCTGTTTCCACAAGCCACACTTCAGCTGAAGGGTTCCCATCGTGATTTAGATTTGGGCTACCCAAGTGAAGAAATCATGGACTTGGGTTGGAAGGATCTTAGAGCTTGTCCACACCATGGACACCTTCCACAATTCCAGGTTGCTCCAAGCCCTGTCAGGAATGGGGAATCCACACCTTCACCACCCTCACAGGGCAGAATTCCTTCCCAAAATCTAACCTAACACACTGAGAGAACAAAACACCCAAATCCTTATTGTGCAGTTTGGGAGAAACATCAAACACTTGTGAGAGCAGAATTACAAATAAATCTGACATGGCACTGGGACTGTTTCAATGCTGGCCTTGACCTGGTGAGCACTAGTTAATCATGATGCATATTTGTCATTTCACTCTACAGTATTAATTAGATGTTTTATTTCAAGGTTGAATAAGCTCTGTTTGCTGTGGTAGCTGAATGGGTTATCAGTACTCACTTCTGGTTTTGGTTTTAGCAGCTAGAACATGTTGGAGAGTGAATGGGCCACCTCTCCAAAGACATTGAACAAACCACCAGTACATCAATTTCCTCCACCCCCACGAAGGAACGCGAAACAATATCTTATTTATAGAAAACGCGTGGGAAACCTCCCCAACAGAATAAACTCAAAAAGCTGTAGAAAATCTTAAGAATCAGGGGGTGACCCATCCAAATTAACCTCTTCCTCCTGGAAATCAAAGCACGAGGGTTCGAGGCGGGGTACTCACGCTCAGGGCGTGGCTGCGCAGGTGCTCCTGGCGGGTGAAGCGCTTGCCGCAGGTGTCGCAGGGGTACGGCCGCTCCCCGGTGTGCGAGCGGATGTGGCGCTTCAGGATCCCCTTCTGCTTGGCCGTGTAGGGGCAGAAGGGGCACTTGTGCAGCTTGATGGGCACCACCAGCACGTCACCTTGGGGAGGAGAACACAGCCCGTGAGCTCGGGCACCTCCTCAGCCGCTGCGCCGGGTGCTGAGCCGAGCTCTCCCCGCGCTCACTTACCTGGCATTTCCTCAGCCGTGCCATGGCAGAACTCCTGCAGCTGCAGTGCCCTGCAAAATCAGCCTGTCTGTTGTTCAAGACAGCAAAACTTTTTTATTTTAAAAAGCCTTTTAATTAAGTACCAATAATCTGCTTCTAGTGAAGCGGGGTCTCTGCTCCGTCTCAGCCACTTCCTTTTTTCTTAAATTATTAAACCATTAGCATTAAACAGCATCAGAAACTAAAACCTTTAACACAAACTGCAGGCAGGAATAGCACATTTTGTCCATGTTCTTTCATATCTAGATACGAAAATATAACTCTTTGTTTCTACTGCCTTCCTGTTGGGAATAACGAGGTGAAGGACCCAAATACATTTCCTGACAGTATTTTACTGTTCTTAAAAACAAACCACAAGTAATACAGAATTTATGGAGTCAGGTGCAAGAACAGAATTAAATTTGAAGATCCCATTTTACAGAAACGTGGGCATTGCCAAATTTTTCAGCACCAGCCCAGCTTCCTTTCCAGCAGAAAGGTGGAGATGTGCTGCCAAAGGATTAATTTTCCCTGTTCCAGGCTCTGATTCAGGGAAATGTTTTTGTGTGTCAAACAGGTGAGGCTGCAGAGCATCCTTTTTATTACGGTTTATCCAACCTACTATCAAAAAAGGTGTGTCTGGTATTAATGATGTGGGTGAGAGTCAGCTCACCCTGTTTTGGAGCTTCCCAAGGGATTACAAATACCTGCTGGGCATTTAGAGCTTCATTTAAACCCATTTATTAGTCCTGCCTTGCTTCCAGTGCTCTCCAGGTGCCTGTTTGCCCTCCTTCTGCTGTGAAGGATGACTGGGGCAGAGGTGGACGCTTGAAAAGAAGTGACATTTACCTCATCTCTTAACCTGAGTGCACCATTCTTTTATCAGGACTTTTTATTTCCCATTTCTGGCGCCTTGTGAAGAAGCTGAGGCAGCAGCACCACTGAAAGCTGAGAAACTCCCACTCTCCTCACTGCTACAAAGTCCTGTTTTAGCACAGGAACAGAAGGAATGGAAGGTTTGGTTTCTTTTCCCTCACTCCTACTCAAACCCCATCTCCCACTAACATTTCTGATACACTCAGGATTCCTGATGTTCCCTATCAAACTCTGGAAGCCTTTCCCTTTTAGTGACTCAGGAACAGCCTGGAGGTGTTGAGAGAGGCAAAAGAGAAATGAAATTTGTGTGTTGGATGTTCTTGCCTTGCCACACATCAAAAAGCAGCAGCGTGAGTGGTGACAGCCCTGCTCTGAGAGTAAACCTGCATTTGTGATTTTAACAGTGCCCTGTTTGAGAGCACTGAGAGGATCTGTCACTTTTATTGGCTTTAAAGTCACTCAGGCAGCTTGAGCTGGAGATGGCAGGAAGATAAATTTGCTGGCTACAGTCAGTGCCAGCCCTGTGGCATTTGTCACATCCTCAGCACCTGTGGCACTCGCAGTTTGTCAGAGCCACCTCCTGTCCTCACAGGGCTGTTTGGACAAGGCACTTATGAAAAACCAGATAAAATGCCCAAATCTTTATTGTCCACATCAAGAGAAATGCACATGGACATGATTTTCTTCTTCTCCAGGTGCCTGAGAGTGCTGCCAGGAAATATTCCTGAGATATTCCAACTGGTGCTGGCCTTGGGGCAGCTGGAAAGTGAAAAAAGCCTCATCTTTATGCCATGCCACAGAGCTGAAAGCTTTCAGTGCTCCTAAAGGGCTTGCAGGAATCCCTCAGTGTCGGATAAAACTGATTCCTGTCCCCTGAATTTCAATGCAGGAGCAAACAGAGCAGCACTGGCAGGAGCTGGGATGGGATGAGCTCCTGCTGCGCCAGGTCCTGCAGCAGATCCCTCCTGTGGCAGCTCAGCTCCTGTTGAACTGCTCCTTACGACCACCAGGAGGGAAAAATCCTTTTTAAAAGCATTCAACAAGGTCCCAGTGATTTTTTTTATTAAAGAATCACCCCAAGTGGAGTCTGGGGGTGATCTGGGAGCTGCAGAGCTGTCAGCAATACTCACCTGCCACGGGCTGCACCAAACAAACAAGTCCAGCTGCTTTAAAAGTGCACAAGGAGAGTTTATTTCACCGTGCCAAAAATTCAGCGAAATATTCTCGGACGGGAGTAACAAAAGAAACCCAACAAAGCCGTTCCCTCCTCCACTGCACATCCTGCAGCCCCGAGTCCTCTCACCTGTGTCCTCACCATACCAGTCGCTGTGAACGTCCATCATGGAGCTCACGGCCACTCCTGCGTCCTCAGCCCTACCCTCAAATCCCCGGACAAAGTGATGCACCACCTCCTCCTTCCTCGGGGCCGAGCCGTTGCGCAGCAGAGCCTCCAGGAACTGCTTCATGTGCAAATTGTTGCAGGCCAGCTCCAGGGGCTGCCCCTCTTCCCCCTGCCCCAGCGAGGAGGGCGCGGGGTACGGCGCCAGCCGCCCGTCCGCCTCGTCGGGGTCCAACTCCACCTTGGGCTCCACCGCCCCGGCCGGCTCGGCGGCTCCGGGGGCCGCCGGCTCCGGGGGCTGGCAGCCAGCACAGTCCCCGCACGGAGGGTCCCGCCGGCATTCCGGAACCTTCTCCTGCACGCAGCACGAGGCAGCGCTCCTGGAGCCCGCCGAGGTGCCCTCCCTGGCCGAGCTGCCGCTGTCGGCCTGGTACAAGGCCGCCGCCTCCCTCTCCATCTTCCTGCAGATGTCCAAGGAGGACCTGATGTAGCTTTTGCAGAAGTTGACCACGTCGGTCATCTGCAGGTAGCTGGCGGCGGACATCACCTCGATGACGTTCTCGCCGCACAGATCCAGCTTCCCCGAGTAGAGGAAATCCAGGATGACGGAGAAAGCCTCGGAGGTGACGATGTCCAGCGAGGCCGTGCTGTGGCGCCCGCTGTCCTGGATGTAGTGGATGAGCAGCGCTCGGAAGTAGCCGCTGTTGGCGAACAGGATGTTCTTGTGGGCTTTGAAGATCCTGCCCTCCACGATGATGCTGCAGTCGCAGAAGAAATCCCGCTTGCGCTGCTCGTTCAGCTCCCCCAGCAGCTTGCTGTAGTAGGATTGCACCTCCATGGCTGTGCGGGAACAGAGCCAGGCGTCAGCGCGGCAGGGACACCGGGACTGCGGGGACACCGGCACCGGGGGACACCGGCACCGGGGGACACCGGGACTGCGGGGACACCGGCACCGGGGGACACCGGGACCGGGGGGACACCGGGACCGGGGGACACTGGGACCGGGGGACACCGGGACCTCCAGGGACACCGGGACCGGGGGACACCGGGACTGGGGGACACCGGGACCTGCAGGGATACCGGCACCGCGGGGACACTGGGACCGGGGGACACCGGCACCGCGGGACACCGGGACCTGCAGGGATACCGGCACCGCGGGGACACCGGGACCGGGGGACACCGGCACCGCGGGACACCGGGACCTGCAGGGATACCGGCACCGCGGGGACACCGGGACCGGGGGACACCGGCACCGCGGGACACCGGGACCTGCAGGGATACCGGCACCGCGGGGACACCGGGACCGGGGGACACCGGCACCGGGGCACACCGGCACGGCGGGGACACCGGGACCGGGGGACACCAGGACCACGGGGACACTGGGACCGCGGGACACCGGGACCGTGGGGACACCGGGACTTGCAGGGACACCAGGACATGAGGAGACACCGGGACCCCTCCGCTGTCAGCACCGCCTTGCCCGGTACCGGGATCCCTCCCTGCTCCAAGCACCGCCCTGCCCGGTACCGGGACCCCTCCGTTGTCAGCACCGCCCTGCCCGGTACCGGGATCCCTCCCTGCTCCAAGGATCGCCCTGCCCGGTACCGGGACCCCTCCGCTGTCAGCACCGCCCTGCCCGGTACCGGGACCCCTCCGCTGTCAGCACCGCCCTGCCCGGTACCGGGGCGCCCCGGGCCGCGTCCCCGCCCGCCCCGGGGAGCGCCCGGTGCGCAGCGCTCACCTCCGCGCGGCGCCGCTCCCGGTCCCGCCCGGCCGCCGTACCGGGCGCGCCCCCGGGGCGGGGCGGGACGTGACGTCAGAGCGGCCCCGGTTCCGGGGCGGCCCCGCGGGGTGAGGGGTCGGTAAATATTGGTGACGTCACACCGGCAAGATGGCGGAGGGGTGAGCGGGGCACGGCCGGGGGGGGACGGGACCGGGGACGAGAACGGGACAGGGAACGGGAACGGGAACGGGAACGGGACCGGGACGGGGAATGGGAACGGGACAGGGAATGGGAACGGGACAGGGAACGGGACCGGGACGGGGAATGGGAACGGGACAGGGAAGGGGAACGGGACAGGGAACGGGACCGGGACAGGGAACGGGAACGGGACCGGGGCAGGGAACGGGACCGGGACAGGGAACGGGAACGGGACCGGGAACGGGAACGGGACCGGGGCAGGGAATGGGAACGGGACAGGGAACGGGAACGGGGCAGGGAACGGGAACGGGACAGGGAACGGGAACGGGACAGGGAACGGGAACGGGACCGGGACAGGGAACGGGAACGGGACCGGGAACGGGAACGGGAACGGGACAGGGAATGGGAACGGGACAGGGGCAGGGAATGGGAACGGGACAGGGAACGGGACCGGGACAGGGAACGGGAACGGGACGGGGAATGGGAACAGGACTGGGAACGGGAACGGGACAGGGAATGGGAATGGGGCAGGGAACGGGACCGGGACCGGGAACGGGGCAGGGAACTGGACAGGGAACGGGAATAGGAACGGGACAGGGAAAGGCACCGGGACTGGGGCAGGGAATGGGGCCGGGATCGGGACTGGGAACGGGAGAGGGACAGGGAACAGGAACGGGACCGGGAACGGCACAGGGACGGCCGTGGGATGGGGGCGGCGAGAGCGGGGCCGTGCCGGCTGCGGTTTGGGGCTGGGATCCGGGATCGGGGTCTGGGGGTGGAATCTGGGTCCGGGCTCGGGATCTGGGTTGGGATCCGGGCTTGGGTCTGGATTTGGGTTCATAGTCGGGATCTGGGTTGGGATCCGGGCTTGGGTCTGGATTTGGGTTCATAGTCNTAGTCGGGATCTGGGTTGGGATCCGGGCTTGGGTCTGGATTTGGGTTCATAGTCAGGATCTGGAGTTGGGATCTGGGTTGGGATCCGGGCTTGGGTCTGGATTTGGGTTCATAGTTGGGATCTGGAGTCCGAGTTTGGTGTTGGGATCTGGCTCTGAGTCTGGGGTCTACGTATGGCGCCAGCATTTGCTCTGGGATGGAATGTAGGGTGTGGGTCTGGGCTCGGGGTCTGGGAGCTCCGTCTGGGATGCTGGTTTGGGGTTAGGATATGGGCTTGGAGTCTGGGATGCTGGTTTGGGGTCGGGCTATGGGATGTGGGTCTGGGATGCTGGTTTGGGGT